TATTTCTCTCCCCGTTTCGATTAATTAGAGATGATAATTTCGCGTTAAACGCAATGGATAACAGATTTAATTAACTGAGTGGGAAAATCGCGGACGCATACCTAAGTAAAATTTTATCGAATGATTAGCTTGCATTGTACGAAAGCATATTTATAGCTAATTTTGTAGGTAATTAGAAACAGTAGGGACTTCTTGCTATTATAAGTTAGACTTCCTGCAGACCGGAACTCGCAACCTTCTTATCTGTCTTCCTATTGTTCCTTTAATGAATTCAAATCCAGGAGGCGGTTCGCGAAAACGCCGGCTTTGCATCCATTTGCATAATTGTATATATTGATGTTCATTAACGAATGTTGTTCGCCGGTCTTCGGCTGCCAACTTGAGCTATGGCTTGTCTCCATACCGTCGCTTTGTAAGTTCTGGGAAATATGCGGAGATTTAGAATTCATCGAACGTTACTGTATTTTCAATCGAAATGGATTACACGCTCTCCAAAGTATTTTAATTTTTCTTAAGTTTGGTCTCGTTGAGGCGGTGTAAAGTTTTTGCTTTGTTCAAATTTACTTTTAAATGTTTCTTGTTTTCGTATTTCGAGATTGCGGTTATAATTGGAATAATTCAACTCGAGTTTTAAACCCTCATGAAAAGTTGCGGGATATTTGCAATTACTATGAAACATTTTTCTGACAAACAACAGTATTTCTTTTGATAAAAAGTCGTTGAAATAAAAAACGAAAACTCTTATCTCTTATTGTGCAATTTTGAAGTTTGTGTATAAAAACAGTAAGGCGAAGTTGGGTATATAATCGATTTTCGAGCTGTTCCCGAAATCAATTTGTTGAAGCCGCTATTTACACTTATCAGCAGTACAGTATCGGAGATGATGGTCCGAGTGTGTAAAAAGATATATAAGAAACAAGAAAATGTCCAGGACGAGTTCTCTTCACGTAATCAATTATCCTGTAAAAGATCGGATAGAACTACCCGGCTCGCGGCCACCCACGAAACGTATAATTATCAGAGCGTGTCCGTCCTCTACTCTATTACTTTGGTTCCAATATACGTCGGCTTAAAAAGGTCAGACCGATGTCTATAAGTAATTTGAAAAAGAACTTAAAATCAAAGGCCCTTTATTATGATTTTCCTTTCATATACTGATATATACGTATAAAGAACTTGCTGCAATATGATACTCCTTTATGAAAAACAAATAGTCCGCATCGTATCGTTCCAGTTTCACAATTTACCTCTCAACCAGAATCTTGTTGTTGTCATCGGTCCTTTTCAAGGAAGATGGATTGATTGCTTGCCTTATATAGTGTGACGTTTATTTCTTACATGACTTGATGTATGTGTTTGCTATTGAGGGCTTTTAAATGGAATAAGTTGCGTCCAATGCAATCATAATCTTGGAACTTCGTTGAAGCTAACTGGTATCGTATTTCATAATGACTCAGATTGTGATCCGGTGGGAATTTTCATTAAGTGTAAGCGTTATTCATGTTTGCACATTTATTTTACCGAACATATACATTCTTATAATGCATGTGTTGTGTGGCGTTGGTGCCCCTAACCTATTCCATTTCATTACGTCTTTTTCACTTTGTATGTAAGTAAAAAAAGTAATGAATATACGCGCAACACATAATGGCGGCATTAATTTTAATTATTATGTCCTTAAATTCCGCCCTCAGTGGCCAATGGGAGATGCATTCATTTCGAGCCAATTCAATAACGCGTTACTTTCGTTTATAATTATAAAACTACTTGCAAATTAATATGTATTCAATTCAATTAATCAATGCTAAATGGAAAGAAATTACACGTGAAGGTAGGTACTTCTGCGATGAACTTGGAGTAGTTCGCGCACAATCGGTGAGCTTTAAAATTAAATAAGGATTAGCGAACGTATTATTTGCATTTATTTTGAAAGAAAAGTAAATAAATTTACAAAGTATAGGCCTTGGGTGCTGACGAACGTAGCGGCTGTCGGCGACAACGTGGGTCTCGGTCGACGGACTCAGGCGCCACCAGAAGGTATGGGAACCTGCTTCTAGCCAGGATTCGAAACAGCGGCGATAGTCTTAGCTATCCTGGTTTTATTTAACACATGGAATCTAATATCGGTTGTTTTGAGGCCATATGCTTACTCATTACCTACCATTTCGGCATGCCCTTTGACCCATGGAGCTCAAGGGTGTTGCTCTAGTGCATGGCGACATTCGGAAATCAATTTTATAGTGACCAAGTGCCTGCAGAGCAGCCCTGCTGTCACTGGAGAAAAATACGAAAATTTCAGATTTCTGAGGTTCTTAGAGATCACAGAACAAACAAACTTAGAAAGGAAGATGTAATATAATGTAAAACTGACGCGCCATCTCGTGTACATAATATGTTCTCAGCAGCAGTGACGTTTGTTGTAGTTTTACAATATCACTAATTACTTTTTATTACTCATTACGGGAATTGTGGACTCACTTAGAATGAACGCAAAAAAATAAAACTCACTATACTTAAGTAGACCTAAATACGCAAATTGATAAAGGTAACGAATATACGAGTAAAAAGTCAAAATAGAGGTAATTGACATTAAATTTTTAACCACGTAAGTCTAGTAAATCCAGATAATATCAACGTTAAATGTATTCGAGCGGGACTGCTACGATAATTAACAATAAAATAACTCACTCAGTAGAGGCACACAAATCATGACATATTGCTCCTGCGAGCCTGGGAAAGTTGATAATGAGTTTAGAACTTGTAAATGTCCAATGAAACTGCTAAATTACTGAATACTTCTTTCACAAATATATGGCGCAATTTATTCATTCTCATTGTTAAATCGCGTCGTTTAATTTTTTTAGTAAGTTTATTTTAAAAAGGCGTTGACAAAGTATTGTTAAAAAAAGTTATCTTGAGTTATTTTCTTCTAAGAGATGAAGCGTCTCGAAATAAATTTAACCAAGGTAGCGGTTCCTACAGAAAGGCGCTCTGTAATTAAAATAATAATGAAACGCCCGCGGTAGTATCTTGATGGAGCCTAATAACACCTTAGTAGAAAATGATTTTAAACGCAATAAATGTAAGCAAACAGCGAACTAAGGCGTTAAGTGACGAATGCCAAATTATGCCTTCAAACATTTTTAATTATTTCTCTAATTGGGGTTGAAACATGATATTCGAGGGGGTTAATTGTTAATACCCTACACATGTTTTATTCACGAAAGAGATAATTAAAGTAGAGGGAAACGCGCCACGCATTCCGGCAAGTAGAAAACATTTAGACAAATGTTGAATAAAGGTGGTAGCTTCCTAACAAGGGTAGGAACGTTAATTATCTCAAAATCAACCCTTTTGTGTGTCATGAAAGAAAATGTTTACCAAATTTTTGTATGCGGGATACCGTCAGTTTGATAGACAGCTGTTCTGTGATTTCGTCTAAAAAAATAATGAAAGGAACAAAAAGATTTAAATATATTCATACAAATTAAACGTTGTTAATTTTTAAGGGTTTAGCATTGGAAATGCTGTTGTTTTGTGTATGGGTATGAAGTTACCAGTTTCGTCAAGCAGAAAAGACACTGGTGTCGCGTCAAGTGTTGATTGATGAAAAGAAAGACCGATAATACAAGTAACAAACAATGGAGGACCGAAAAAAAAGGGTAAGACGGAGCAGCAGGTGATTTGGCGCACCGTTGTTATTCTTTTAATAGACGAAAATATGGCACGTAAATTTCTGCACAGTTCCAGTAAAATGTCAGTGCTTCGTTTATCGCGCAACTGAAGTGGTCATTCATATTTAAGGTAAGAAAACATGTTTATATATTACCACCCGCACGTTAGTAAGTTAATGGGGTAAAAAATGCCCCCCCCCCCACTATTTTGACGGAAATACACGTTTTGATAATGAAATCCGAATCAAATAAAATCTCGATAATGTCGGTCGGTCCGTCTTCATTTCCGGTTCAACGGCCGAACCGATTGGAACCAAATTTGGTACACATATTCTTACACATAGAAGGAAGAATGCATCCTAAATATTTGAGTTGTGAGCAACAAAATTTACATTGATCTTTGCTAATTGTTAAGCCTGCAGTGTCGAGTGGATTAACTGTTTCTCGCACTTTGTCTATGTGATGGTCAAAATCGTCCGTAACGATCACTATATCATCCAAGCAGACAAATACGTTTGGTTCTAGTTCGTTTGAAATTACCTGGTCAATACACCTTTGCCATGTTGCCGGTGAGTTGGTTAAGCCGAATGGTAGTCAGTCGTGTGAACTGAAAAAGTTCGGTACAGTAAATGCAGTAAATTGTTTTGAGTTTTCGTTGAGAGGAATTTAGTCGAACGCGGATTTAATATCGAGAGTCGAAAGATTTCGAGCACTGCAGAACTTTGGGCTATAAATCCGGAGGTCGGGTGTTCGAACCTGGTTTGAGGTGAATTTTTCATCTGTCGCAGAGATGGGCATTTCCTTAGATCAGTCTCGAGCATTCTGCCGGCTACTCCGAATTAGGTTTTCCTGCAGTTTTCCTAATTCGTAAGGTAAATACCGGAGTAGTATAGAACAACTTAAGACCTTCTGCAGGGGCACCTCTAAAAAGCATTATGCGGATCACTCTGTAATTGGGCGTAAGCCTGTTGAGGGCCTAGAACAAGAGGGACAATAAATAAAATAAATAAAAAAAAATCAAGAGTCGCTGTTATGTGGGGAATTGGATAAACATCTTTTACCGTAACCTTATTTAGTTTCCTGTAATCCACATCAATCTGCATTGGCATGCGAAGTGAGTAGACGTGTTAGAGTTGGCTCCGTAAGTGTCGTCTGATTTGTGCGGAAATCAAGTGCATGTTACTTACTGGTGACAGTAAACTACGCCTACCAAGTACAAATATCATATACAAAGTAAGTGACTTTCTTTTTTGTTATACAATTCGGGATTTCCAAAATTTGCGCCTATTAATTCACGTACGAAGCCGATTTCTATACGTAAATATCATGAAACCGTCAACGCGCTCAAATAGCGGTACCGAGGATACAGATAACGCAGAGGATACAACAATCAATTTCCAAACGCTCGATGGTAAACTGACCACCTTAATCCATCTGTTTAATCAAATGGCCCAAGATGTCAAAAATATGAAATCTAAACAAAAGGAAATGGGGGCATCCATCGAGGCGTGCCATAATAAAATAGATGATGTGGTTGTTAATATAAATTCAATGAATGGTAAATTAAAAACGGTTGAGCATAATTATGTTGGTTTATCAAATGAGAACGCAACGTTGAAAGTTAAAATTCAAAATTTGGAGCGTAAGATGGATGATCTTGAACAATATTCGCACAGAAACAATTTATTGCTGTACGGCATTCCGGAGGATCCCAATGAAAATGTATTGGGGGTTATTAGAAGAGTCGCACAGAACTTGAACTTTACAGAGTTTTCTACGAATTTGCTGGTCGCGGCGCATCGTCTGGGTGTTAAACAGAATCCCGTTACTTCACAAACTCAAACTAAGAGACCCATTATAATAAAGTTTGTTCGGCGATTCGACAAGGAGGAGTTTTTACGACTGCGGAAGGTGAAGAGGAACCTTCGTTCTTCAGACCTGGGATTTGCAGACGAAGGTATGGTCTACATAAACGAATCCCTTACGAGCGAGACAAGGAAGCTTCTGGGCAAAACGCGGGAATTAGCAAAATCCAAACAGTTTCAATTTGTATGGACTGTCGACGGCAAGATATTTGTCAGGAAAGCGGCTGGGCGACCTTCAATGCGCATTGGATCTGTTGCAGATTTGGAGAAATTGTAGATGATCGCAATGGTTTTTCCTGTTTATGTAATCTTTTATTTTTTATTTTTGTCGTCAAATAAATTTTCTTTGATTACTTTCTCTCAGCAATGAACTCTGTCATTAAGGACGTTAGCATGTACTATCAGAATGTGAGAGGGCTGAAAACTAAAACCCTGGAATTTTATCTCAATACTTTAGGGAATTCTTATGATATTATTGTACTGACAGAAACGTGGCTGCATGATGGTATTCTATCCAGCGAATTATTTGACAGTAGGTATTGTGTATATCGAAATGATCGGGATAGGAAAGCTACTAAACTTTCTGATGGGGGTGGGGTTTTGATAGCTGTTAATAAAAAGCTAATTTCGGCACGCATTAATACTGGAGGTGATGAACTTCTTGTTAAAATAGGAAATCACAATACCTATTGCCTTTATGTTTGTGCTATATTCTTCGTCCCAATAGTAGTGTGGATACATATTGCCATTTTTATGATAGAATAAATGAAATTCCAGATCTTTCAAGGCAAAATTTATGTATTATTGGAGACTTCAACCTTAAAATTTCTGGAGTTAATCAGAATTTAGAATATGGAGATAACTATTGTAGAGAGTTATATAACTTTCTTTGTTTTAATAACTTAAGTAGTAAGAATAACGTTGTTAATAATTTGGGACGAACATTGGATCTCGTATTGAGTAATATTACAACAATTGATGTTTCACCATGGGATGACTCTCTTGTGGCAGTAGACAAATTTCACCCAGTACTCCATGTATCATGCAAGTTAAAACATTCTAAATCCGCTAACTGTATAACTGAGGGGCAGTATTACAATTTCTACCGGGCAGACTTCTTGCAGATTTATTATAGCTTAGCGGAAGTAGATTGGACAATCTTAAATAATATAGGTGATGTTAATGAAATTACTAATATTTTTTATAAGATTTTATATAGAATATTGGACCAACATTGTCCAAAAAAACCGTTTAGGAATAGTTTCCAATATCCTGTGTGGTTTACAGCGGAAATTGTTCAAAGTATTAAGCAAAAAAGTAAGCTATTTAAAAAATACAAACGCCTACATTCTAGTAATGATCCACGATCAGTAGATACCTATTTGGAATTTAGCCACTTGAGGGCAGACGTGAAAAAACGAATCTCATTGGCTCATAAAAATTACATAGCACAAGTAGAATCCAACATTCACTCCGATCCAAATCGTTTCTGGTCTTTCATAAATAATATGCGACAACATGTAGATCTCGAAAACAATATGCTGTGCGGAAACGCAGTTATTAAGATGGGAAATGAAATAGCTGATAAATTTGCGGAAGTTTTTGAATCTGTATATCTACCCGCGCCAAATCAATATGACGTCGAAGCTGCAATTTCTACTACAAACTGTGAACCCTGGAACGTGGCACTTGATTTAGTAGAAGTTTCCCCAAATGACGTATTAGGTGCTATTAAGCACTTAAATTGTAAGCGTTCAACGGGCCCAGACTTGTTGCCACAATACTTCTTTAAGGGATACAAAGAATTACTAGCATTACCACTATCCATAATATATAACAAAAGCCTAGCCTCTAATACATTTCCGGAAGTCTGGAAATGCTCAAAAATAATTCCAATACATAAAAGCGGTAACCGTCGATTCTTCTCGAACTACCGCCCGGTTGCCTTGCTGTCAGCTCCATCAAAAATATTTGAAATAGTCTTGCACAACAACATATTCAAAAAATTAATTCCGCATTTATCTACTAAGCAACATGGTTTTGTCTCGGGAAGATCTACGGTAACAAACCTCATTAATTTTACACAGTTCATTTCAAGAAACTTGGACAAAGGTAATCAGGTGGATACAATTTTTACAGACTTGACGAAGGCGTTTGATAAGGTGGATCACTCCGTTATCTTGTCCAAGTTAATACAATATGGGGTATCATATAACGTGGTTTTACTGTTAAAATCTTACTTGCTTGACCGTAGTCAATATGTTTGGTATAAAGGGCACAAATCTAGGGAGTATACAGTTACTTCAGGTGTACCGCAGGGTTCGATACTTGGGCCTGCACTTTTTAATCTTGTTGTCAATGATGTCGTGAATTGTGTACAGGAGTCTGAGATATTGTTATATGCGGATGATCTCAAACTTTTTAAGGTAATTAAAAATAATCAAGATGCGCTGGGACTTCAAAATGATATAACTTCAGTTAATAAGTGGATGACCCTAAATAAGCTATCTTTTAATGTCTCAAAATGCGTAACACTAACGTTTACGCGTGGGAAACATTACATCGCCTATGACTATTCTCTTAATGGCGTGAACTTGAAACGGGTGTCTACATACAGCGACCTGGGGGTAGTGTTTGACCATAGACTGACGTACACACTTCACTATGCCGCCATAACGAGCAAGGCGTATCGCAATCTTGGGTTGATAATTAGACAGAGTAAGTATTTCACGTCAATTTCCACATTGAAGCTATTATATGTGACACTAGTGAGATCTAATTTAGAGTACGCAACGACGGTGTGGAACCCCCACTACAGTATTCACAGTTACAATATCGAAAAAATTCAACACAAATTTTTAAGACATTTATATTTTAAAACACATGGATATTACACGTATCTGACGTCAAGTAGTGCGATGTTAGCAATGTTTGATTTAAAAAGTTTGAATACCAGGAGAAAAATACTACAGCTAACTTTCCTTTATAAGCTTCTTCGAGGTTTCACATATGATAGTGGATTGCTCAGTCAAATTGGATTTATCACCCATTCATACTCCAGTCGGTCAAGATCATTATATCATATCCCATACGCTCGTACAAATGTCCTCAAACATTCACCATTAATTAGTATGTTGCGCACATATAATGAATTACCACCACAGTTGGATATATTTGGAGACTGCCTTCACGAATTTAAAAAGAATTTAAAAAGAAATGCTATCTGCACGTACTGTAAAGAATCTTATCACATTTTGTAACCCGTGTGATTCGTGATTTCCCTGCTCCAATCATGTAACTCGTTAGTTTTGGCAGTCATACAGAATGCTTTTTTGTTTAAGTTTTTGTAAGTTTTTGTTTAAGTTTCAAATATTGTTAGCCGTGATCGTTATAACTATAAATGCATCTAATTTATATTTTATTCCTAGTGCCTTTTTGTTTTTTTGTGTCCTCTGTAGCTAGTAACTACTTAATTACTAATTATTATTTTATTTCTTGTGTACCTTGTTTTTGTTATACTTGAGTTATATTTCATTTACTCACTTAAATGTAAATGTATGTACTGCTCAACTGTAATTGGGGTAAAACCTGTAGTTGAGCAAGCAAATTTCATCAATAAATAAATAAATAAATCAAATCTGTATGGATTCTTACGAACTAGTATGATTGGTAAAGCCGAAGTACTTTCCGAAGGTTCTACAATTCTATATGCTAAAAGCTTATCCAGTTCGAGATCGATTGACTTCTTACTGGGCCGACTGCGTAATACCTCAGCTTTATGGGTTCAGAGAAACGTACTATTCTGTGTTTAACAACATTTGTGCACCCAATTTTGTCTGGTATTTTTGGAAAAATGTCGTCTACTAAGCTACTTAATTTTACTTGTTGTAGGGGTGTTATGGACGTTTGCGGTAAAAGGCTATGTTGTTTGATGTCTACGCTATCGAATGAAAATTTTTATTGTACCTTTTAGTTTGACCGGGACGGTTATTAGATTTTGTCACGGGAATATTTAAACATGCTAGTTTTTGCCAACCAGATTGACCTAGAATAGTTGTTGATGCTCCAGAATCTAACAGTCCAAGCAAAGGTACGTCAAAGGTCAATACTTCTAAGTATGGTCTATCGTCTGTCTTATAGTGTGATAGTATAACGTCTAATACAGGTTTCGGGGTTTGTCAAGTAATTGTTCGGTTTATTGGTCGATGTAATCTGAGATATGGAGGGTACTTCTCGACCTAAAAGCGTCTCGCTGTCTCGATTTTTGGGATCTTATTACAATCGGGACAATTGCGTACTGTAAAATTTGGTCTATTGCATTTAGCAATAGATTTATGTTCCAAATGTGCAATTGGCGGCAAAGTGACCTAACATATTGCATCTAAAGCATTTAAAATGAGCTATTGCATCTTCATGTTGACAAATCATAGCCTGAATTAAAGTTTTCCATAATATTACAAATACGGAGTGTTCTCTTAGACAGATCTGTTACGTAAAGGCTCAGGATGGACAAAATCGTGTTACTTACACGACCAAATCTTCCCGTCACACTGCAACAATAAATTTTCGCCTTACAGATTGTATACTTATTTGTAATTGAAATGTTCCCTCCGTTCGTGAAAACTCTCATTTCACTAGCAACCAAAAATATCTACGTAGTCCGGTACAAGACGGCTGTAATCTTATGCAATTTACAAAGGATTTAATTTTATTATGAGCTGCTTCAGAGGGATAATGAAGATTTCTGATGAACATTTATGTTTGTTTCTGCCATAAAATGAAATTAAAATATTCATTTTTTACAAGAAAACCATCTATATTTCTACGCGTTTGAGGCGCGATGAAGTGAAAAAAGAAAGATGATCATTTACGCACCGAGATAGCTTTAAATAATACTCAAAGAACGATCATGATGATTGGATAAGTTTAGCACGCTTTCATCTTGCAGTTACACAAAAGCGACAACAGGTCAATACCATTCGTACAATTGGGCCAGTAACTAATTACTCAGTTATGAATCTCATATTCCTTTTCAACTCGGACCGTTCCACTTCTAAATAAATGAAAATATTACTTCAATGGCTTAATTAGTGTCGAAATGTACTTCGTCATGATTTTCTAACATTTTGATATAGCTTTTCCACTTTTAAAAGTGTTAAATTTGTCTAGTATAATTCCTCTACACTTGGTCGTAATTACTAACTTTTTAATTTGAACGTGTGTACTTACTCGAGAACTTGCTTTTAAGTGTTAGAAGTTTGTGGAAGTGAGTATATC